CCACAGATAAGGTATTCATTCACTGCACTGAGGGTGTCAGCTACGCCCCTACTCTTTTTCTGGCATACCTCATAATCCACCACCACTGGAGAGTGGAGGATGCCATTGATCGTCTCATAAAGATTAGATACATCAAGCCTGACATAGACTTGCTGAAGCAACTGGCAATCCTGGATGAGGAACTTCTGCACAATAGATCTACAAAATATAGAGGAGAAAACAAAAGCTTGATATACAGGGAGCCAAAGATTAAGACGTGTACACATTTTAAGGAAGATTATGCAATTCATAGAACGGCGGCTCAGAACGGCTTGGATCTGATGGTTCAACCAGATGGTCGCTCCGAGACCGATATAAATAAATAAAATAAAATTGTATTTACAATTTTATGAAAAAAAATATTACAATTTTGAGATGCAGTGTTGTCATTGTTCCTGATTTCATAATTCCTTACATCATTCCTTAATCTGCTTGTGGTATCTGTGTGATATGATACTTATCTTCACACCAGTGTCTTTTTCTAAGAACAAATACCAAACTTTTTAGAAAATAGCAAGTGCTATTCGCCAAAGTTTTTTTAAAAGTAGTTTGCTAAGTGTTTACTCTCAGTGTCAAATTAAAATATAAATTATAAATATATTGTCAAAGAAATTATGATATAGGTAAATGAGGAAAAGTGAGAAAAGTTGTCGGTGGTGACATCTTTTAATATTGGGAGCTGTTTCCTGGGGGTATTCCAGAAAGCAAGTTTAACTTACTTAGTTACTTACTTGCTTATTAGGCTGCATAGATTAGGCCAGCCAGAATCAGGAACACTTATGTTATAAGTAAATCTATGGAAAAGAATGTTATCTACGCTAATGTTAGTCTTTCTGTTTATTCCGAGGTTAACTGTAATCAGCCGGACCCGGGCCTTATCCAGTGGACCTGCGTCTAGACACGTCCACAACGCATGATGTAGTCAGCCGGATCCGGGCCGTATCCAGATCAGATGGTGGACCTGCGTCTAGACACGACCACAACACATGATGTAGTCAGCCGGATCCGGGCCGTATCCAGATCAGATGGTGGACCTGCGTCTAGACACGTCCACAACTCATGATGTAGTCAGCCGGATCCGGGCCGTATCCAGATAAGATGGTGGACCTGCGTCTAGACACGACCACAACGCATCGCTGAAGTGTCAGCAGAGATTGTGTCAACCAGACTCCCATGTGAAGGCCTCATCGACACGACAGCCATCGGCATTGATCGCCAACAAACCCGTCTCCATACGCGCGTGATGACTCTGATCTTCAACCAGATGGAACTGGATAATATTCTGAAAATTCCAATCCAATCTGTTTTCTGACCCATAATGCTGCCTGAATCATAATCATACACTGTTCGCTCGTTGGCCAGAGGAGAACTGGCCCCTCCCGACTGAGCCTGGTTTCTCCCAAAATAAAATTCTCCATTCTGCCACCTGATGGAGTTTTGGTTCCTTGCAACTGTTGCCTTTTTCACCTTTCTTCGCCTTTGTCACCATTGGCTTTTGGCTTGCTTAGTTGGGGACATTTCATTTAATATTCAACAATATTATTGATCTGACGGCATTGGCACCATTATATGAGAACTGAACTGAGCTGGACGATGACATCACGTTTAAAAAAAAAAAAAGAATCATCACTGAGCTTACTTTAACTGGACTCTGTGATGCTATTTTCTTCTGGAAACAAACTTTGTTGCATTATTTTCCTGTGAAACTATCTGTATTGTAAAAAGCGCTATATAAATAAAGGTGACTTGACTTGACTACCGTAACATAACATAATAGTTTCTTGATCTGATTGATATTTGGCGTGTAAAGAACTCGCATTAAAAAAAAAAGTTTACATGGGGTCCTTTTCAGGGCGCATTCAACATTCAAATCTTATTTCTTCCTCATTTGACTGTAATATTTATCTTTCAGTTTCAAAGAATCACAGTGCCGTAATCACTCTCTCAGCCCACCGTCTTCCAGAACTCATGTTTAACAATAATGTGTTAAAATGTGAATCCTTTTGTAATTCTGTTTTGTTAATGACTAAAAATGTTAAAACTATGCCTGAATTAACTTTAATTGACAAACGGGAATGGGTTAAATTTAGCATTAAAATTTTGGCAATTAAAGAAGGTAAACGAATTGTAAACGCGTCGTGCCTAACAAGTGAGCAACATTCACTTTCATGTCAAATACATTCAAATAGATCGTGTGAGTTAAATAAAATAAATGGGGTGATTCTCAATACTCAAATTGATGCTTCAGATTTCTTTTCTCAGAATTGTGAGATATACACTCGCAATTTAGAGTTATAAATAAAGTACATTTCTGAGGAAAAAAATACTTTTACATAGAAATTGTAACTTTATTTCATGCAATTCTGAGAGAGAAAACAAAGTCAGAATTGTGAGATAAAAAAATGCATTTACCTTTTTATTTTTTATTCAGTGTGGTCGTGGAAACAAGCTTCCATAGAAATGCCACACAATTTGCGGAGGTGTTTTTTAATGTTAAATTGGGGAACAGCAAAAGTATTGAATCACTTAAAATCTTTTACACTGTGCTGAACGCTAGAAACAAAACGTCACTTGTCAGTGTGAAACGATGCCCTCAATTTGAGGGAGTTTATTAAAACTTTGTCTTTTTGTGAGAACTGTCTCAATAAACATTTCTCTGCAACCTAAAAGCTGTCCATATAGTGAGTGTGACATAAATAAAATTACTCTTTTATTGACAACATCTCTGTAGTATTTTCCGAAGTATAAATCGAATATTTGTCTGAAACCTGCTGCGATTTATATAATGAAATTAACTTAAAGCAAGCAATCATACCTGTCAGGGGCGTCACTAGGCCCTTTTTAGGGGGGCTTCAGCCCCCCTAAACTTCTGCCTAGCCCCCCTAAAAATGTGAGATTAATGTAGGCTACACAAATTCGTGTTCGCTTCAGTCTTGTTATAATCAGATTCAGCGCGTTCTTCATCTTCAATCCGCAGCGGCGCCGACAGAGAGCACGTCAGAAACAGAGGACAGGCTGTGTGTGTGTGTTCATGTGTGTTCATCTGAGCCTCATTGGTCTGTCACTGCTCGTCAATGTCAGAATATTTGAGATGACCAATCAAATCAAAGTAGGCAGGCTTTATGTTCACAGACGCTGCTGAGCGCGAATTTTAACAGTGCGACTCGACGCGTACGGTCAAGTGCGAGATAAGATGTAAGTAGCTAAACTTAACATTTCATATTTTACTTTTTTTAGGTCATAAATGTTAAACGAATGACAAAAAATAATCAGGCAAACTAATATAGTTTTGTCTAATTTCGCCATTTTGAACTGAAAATAGGCCTATGTAACGTGACTCATGTAATGTAATAATTAGTTTACAAGAAACATTAACAAAGCCGTTTTCATCATGTTAGGCACAAGATTAATAATGAATGTGTACATATTGAGGATATAATACAAATTGTAGCCTTTAGTAAATTAAAAAAGCTCAGCTTTAGGAGGGGAAGAGAAAGGGACGAAGAGACTGAGAAAAAAAGAAAGAGTGATGGAGATGAGAAGAGAGCAGGTATTGACAAATAATCTGCCCACTGACATGGTTTTAAAGCTATTTCTTATCCTTTTTTGGTCTTCAAACGTCTTGAAATGCACATATCAGAGAAATAAAAAATTTGAACCCCCTACCAACCTCAAATTTAGGACCTCTGTGACTAAAGCCCTGTCTACGGCCCTGTATTAGGCATTAGATCAATAATAAATGTGTAGCCTACATATTGTGAATGCATTTAATAAACTTAATTACCTTTAGTAGCTTTCAGTAAATAAACGCGTCTGAGAAAATGATTCATAGGCAAAATCAACCTATCAATTGACCCCATGTTTACTTTCTTCACTGACAGACAAAAATGAAAAGCCTATATCAGTCAAAGCTCAGCTTTAGGAGGGGAAGAGACAGGGCAAGATAAAAACAAAGAGAAAAAGAGTGTGATGCTGATGAGGAGAGAAAAATAATCAGCTGCCCACTATCCAAGTTTTTTTGGCCTTCAGAACATCTTAAAATGCACATATGTAGATCAGAGAAATCAAAATTTTCTCGGGGAGACCCCGAACCCCCTTATTTGCCCTACCTCACATTAGGGACCACAGTTATTATAAAACCATGCCTTTGCATCGTAATGAAAATGGTTAATAGTGATCTTTAGATAAACTAAAGTGTTACATTTTTTTATTTAAAAAAAAAAAAATCATATTGGGGGCTTAGCCCCCCTAAAATGAAAATCCTAGTGACGCCCCTGATACCTGTAGTGGTAGGCTACTGCTCTGAATAAGGTCTAAAACCCCCCGAGTGTAACACGTGCTTCGTGTGATGCACCACTAGACGGCGCTGTTGTATTACAGATATTTTGTTTGTGCGCGTTCGCAGCCGTTTGAGGTTCCAGTTCGACGTTGATACTTTTTATTGTTGTGTTTTCTACTACAGCAAACATTTGATAGCCACGTGAAAGAGTAAAAATTAGACGACTCATTTCTTAAAACCATTTTATTGACCCATGTACAGAAAGTGCAGCAGCGACCACAAAAAAGTCGGTAAGATATACAAATACAACCCATCCATTCGCACTTTATAATGAGTGAACAGTCATTTACAAAACCATTCGGACACAAAAACACACAGGCAGCCAATGTTACACAGAGTAGTAGTAGTAAGACAACATTTAAAGGGCGCACGCATGGATTTATAAAAATGTACGAGACTCACGACAAAAAAAAACTTTTTCACCGTCAGTTATTAGAGCTAAAATTCATGGGTGTTTATGAAAGGATGACCATTTCACATCAAATGAGATGAACGGCGCAGAGAAAGTCTTGTTCTGTGACTTCACTGTCTCGTACTTTCTGTTATTATTGTCCTCCAGCGATAGAGACTGAGCGCGTAAAGGGATCAGACGGGATGCAGGGCTTTTATTAGTTTGTCAGAGCCGAGTCTTTTCGTTTGTTTGCATGTAAACTCGCTTGTATTGCAGGCCACTACAATGCTACAGGTAAGCGTTGTGTTTTGAGCGTGTTTTCAGCAGTGTAATGTTGCTTTCCCCCATTGAATCCTGGTTTGATGATGTATGAAAGATGTGGTAGCTTCCTCTACATCGCTGTCTGATTCGGTACTTGATACACCACATTCCTCTTCCTCATCTTCTTCCTCCTCGGTTACTTCTTCTGCTGACTGAAGCTCCGGAAAGTTCTAGAATTAACCAATTATCTGGTTACTCTCGTTCATAGTAATTCAAATGAAATATTTTACATTGTTTTACAAAAATGAGAAAAGAGCAAAGGATCTGAAAGGAATAGTTTAAATTGTGTCTTCATTTGCTCATAAATGTCTTTTTGGAAACCATGTGACTTTCTTTAGACTATTATGAGATATTTACAGCTAAATGTCCAAGCTGCTCTTTTCCAAACAATGAACTTGAATGGTGACTATGGCTGTCGAGCTGGACTTTTATTAAATAACAAATCAACATCAGTCTGTTCCACACATAAAGTTAGCATACAACTTAAAAAGACACGGGCTGCATCCGAAATAGCATACTTCCGTACTATATAGTAGGCAAAAAACAGTATGTGACAAAATAAGTATGTCAGAATTCAGGAAGCAAGTATCTGGATGACCTACTACTTCCGGTGAGATTGTGAAGTGTGCATATGATGGACACTTTACTATCCCATGAGGCCACAGGAGAGGATTTGTAAATGGCAGTCAGTGTCACAACTAACGGTGGTAGCCGGTACGTCACATGATAATGACAACATAGCAAAAGTAGTACGTCCAGATTACATTCATACTACATACATTCACACTATATAGAACATACTTTTACAGTGGTTGTGAAGTAATTACTTATTCTAAATAAGATCCTACTCAAGAGAGTATGAGATTTCGGTCGGACGCAGCCATGGAATAGTGTATGAGTCTAATGGACTAATTTCATAGTGTTTTTACAGTGGTTTTTTGTTGTTGTTGTTTGACAGCTCCAGTCCCCATCCACTTTCATTTTAAGAAAAAAGTAACACAAACATGCTTTAAAATGTGGTTATCGAACACTTAAACATTCATCTTTCTCAGTTGATAGTGATTAAAATATTAATTTGGTTGATTTTCTAACCATTACAACAATTCTACTTTGTCACTATGTTTTCTTTCTTTCTTTATTTTACAGGATTTTGTGTTGATGACGAGCCAAGGAAATGAATTGCAGATGTGAACATTCAGGAAGAAAGTAAGTCAGATGCGTTTGGAACAACAGGAATGGGAAAATTAACACAATAATTCATTTAGACTCGTTCCTCATCTTTAAAAAGCACAAATCGAGGCTACGATGAGGCACTTACAAATAAATGGGGCCAATTTTTGAAGATTTATGTGAAGCTTATAATAAAAAAAATACACATTTAAATAATATTAACCAGTTTTTTACAGTTAGCAATTATTTTAGGGTTTATAGAGTTATGTTGTCAAGGCAATTTTGTAAAATTGGATATACATTACACATAAAAAGGTTAGTAAGCAACTTTTATCGTTTTATAAATCATGTCAACACACGTCATATGGCTATTGAAACTCTGAGTGATTTAATATTTAAAATTCGCCATATTCACTTCCTTTGAAATTGCCTCACTGTAACCCAGATTTTGTTTAGCTATGATAGATGAAAATTTGATACTTTGATGATCTTGCACATAACTTTAGTTCCTTAGAAACTACAGTGTTCAGAGCAGTTGTTCAGCTGTGTTACTTTGCTGTACACCCGTCAGCTGGATAAACATGTTTTCGTTATTCATGGAGACTCGTGCATGATGTGACAGTTTGACAGGCGTCAACATTTTGGCAGCTTCTTTACATTATTATGTCTTATGTTGGTTGTAGACGGTTTGTCTTACCTCCAGTGGGTTGACAGTGATGGAGAGAGAGGAGCCGTCACAGTCCGCTTGTTTCTCTGGCAGTGTGTGTGTGTGTATGTTGTCTTTGTTTAGTGGTTGGTTAAGACGGTAAACACCCAGCAGCACCACCAGCAGGGCGGCGATACACACCACACCGACTGCGGAAGCAACGGCAGGCACAACTGGAAAGACAATAAGCGCATTTGAATCTTAGAGCCTATAGACTGTATATAGAGTAGATGTCATAATTAATTTAACGCCAAGTTGTGAGGGATGAAAGTAAAATCTGTTTTGTATGTTTAGCCATGCTTTGCAGAGTTGTTAATCAGGTTCTTCTATCAATTCTACTTAAGGGGTTAGTTCACCCAAAAATAAAAAAATTCTGTCAGTAATTACTCACCCTCATGTTGTTCCAACCCTGTAAGACTTTCGTTCATCTTCGGAACACAAATTAAGATATTTTTGATTAAATCTGGAGGAGTGAGACAGCTCTCAGATTTATTAAAAAATATCTTAATTTGTGTTCTTACGGGGTTGGAACAACATGAGGGTGAGTAATTAATGACAGAATTTTCATTTTTGTGTGAACTATCCCTTTAATGACTTTGGTTCCTTTGTTTACACCTGGTATTAAAGGGGATAGTTCACTTTGAAATGAATTTTTGGTATGTTTTAGCTTACCTCAAGGGCATCCAAGATGTAGGTGTCTTTGTTTCCGCAGTAGTTTCAATTTTGATATTTTTAGGTCAAACCGTTCTTGTCTGTCAGTCATATAATGCAGGTCTATGGTCACCACCTCAAAGAGCATGCACAGAGAAGTCCAAATTAAACATGATTTAATGACTCGTAAATGTAAGTACACATTGATGGCCTAAGACACGAAACAAGTGGTTTGTGTGAGAAAACGAACAGTATTTATATCGTTTTTGCCTCTTGTAACCACAGCCACGTCCAAGTGATCTGAGGGCGCGGGCGCTTCGGTCTGCGCAAGCGCCGGAAAGCGCCGGAAGTGATCTAAATATGGTTGTGAAAAATTCAACGTTGTCTGTTGATATATCGAAATCGTCTTCCATTGCGCTTTCCTGTATATCTAAATATGTTTAGATCTTCACAGTGAAAGGTAACACTTCCGAAATCTCTGTGTAAACAATGAGTGACGTACACGCGCGAGAGATCACTTCCGGCGGTTGCACAGACCGAAGCGCCGGCGCCCTCAGATCACTTGGACGTGGCTGTGGTTACAAGAGGTAAAAACAATATAAATACTGTTCGATTTCTCACACAAACTGCTCGTTTCGTGTCTTAGGCCATCAATGTGTACTTACATTTACGAGTCATTAAATCATGTTTAATTTGGACTTCTCTGTGCATGCTCTTTGAGGTGGTGACCATAGACCTGCATTATATGACTCACAGACAAGAATGGTTTGACCTAAAAATATCAAAATTGAAACTACTGCGGAAACAAAGACACCTACATCTTGGATGTCCTTGAGGTAAGCTAAAACATACCAACAATTTATTTCAAAGTGAACTATCCCTTTAAGATTCGTTTTGGTCGATCACAAGTAGACGAGGGAGACACATTCCCGTTTACACCTGGTGTTTTAATTCGTCTCTTTTGTCCACTTTTAACCACTTCTGCCCTGATTTCTTCGAGGGGAGGGTCTATGGGCGGGGTAAAATGTATGGGCTTTTTCAGATCTTTTGATGAAATGGACGAAATGAACTTGCGCAATTTAGATATGAACGCGACTGGAGGCATCTTTAATTTCTGCTCTGATAGCCACAAGATCACACCGAACGTTGTGAGTGTGTCTTAGAAATCAGGAATGGTGAGAGAACATTTTGTTTGGTATGTTTTTCATCTTCAGACCAAACTTAGATCTTCAGTCGACAAAGTTTAAATCCCGTCTGGCTAGCGCACATCCCATAATGTTTAACCATTAGGTCAGTAGGTGGAGAGTAGACAGTCTTTTGTGGCAGTTTGACCACATGAGCGTTTACACTACGAAAGCAATCTGGTCGAAAGTTTGGAAGTGGAAGAAAGTTTTAGACCCCGTTTACACCTGTATTTAGTGCCGTCCACTTGTGATCCGATCGACCAAAACCCATCTTAACACCAGGTGTAAACAGGGCCTTTATGATTCCATTAATAATTCTTTTCATTCTAATATTTACCTTATTATATTAATATAAACACAATTACAGACACTCACCTAAGCTGTAGTAGTTGTTAGATTCTATGACTTTAGGATGAATAATTTGCATGTATTTGGGCGGGGCCATGTCATGATTGACATGTTCCACAGCTTCCTCACTGTGAAGGATGTTGACCTCGGAGAAAGAGTGATAGAGAGCAACTTTAGCTCATAGTTCAGAGCTGTGGTTTAGTTAGTGCGGATGCAAAAAAAAACATTCTTTGTTTGATTCTCACCTGTAATGTATACTGATCACTGGTGTAACGTCCATTAAGCTCAGAACAGGTGAGTCTGAAAGTGCGGACGGAATCGACAGCCTGGCGGCTCTGATAACGCACCTGTCGAATCACCTCTGTGTAGTGAGAAATAGAGTCTACACCTAAAACAGATGTAGAGGAAGAAAAATGTAAGGACTTTGTATTGAGAAAGACAATAGTATGTTGTAGAATGTGTGTCTTTACCATATATGGACATGCCGGTGCTAGAGTTGGCGTATTCCAGGTGTTTGCCCAATAAGGCGCTGTGTTGCAGTTCAAGACTCTCTAGCCCCGCCTTTAACTCCTCCCCCAACACCATGATGTCACAATAGTCCAGATTATGTGTGAATTCCTTCAATACAACTGACCTGTGATCTGCACACATACAAAAATGAAACAAGAGGGTTAGGTTTATGAATAATAATGCCTTAATTCCCATAGTTTTCAAAAATAAGATATACGTATAGTGCATGAGTCGTCTGGAATAGGCTACATATGATGCATTTTTTGTTCACAATTTTATTTTTGGTTGAACTATTGTAGTCTATTTTTAAAATGAACCTATCCTAAATTGTGTAGCATTTAATATCTCACTTAGGCTTCTGTATGCAAATGACCTCTATTAGTGAATAGGTGTTTGATATGTAAATGTTGCAAGTCATATGTTAATATGTACATTGTATTTTGAACCTTGTACACCGTTCAAAAGTTTGGGGTATATTTTTGGAAGAAGTCTCTTATGTCACCAAGGCTGCATTTTGTGAAATATTATTCTAATTTAAAATAACTGTTTTCTATTTTAATGTTTTAATTAAATATAATTTATTCCTGTGATGCTGAATCTTCAGCATCATTACTCCAGTCTTCAGTGTCACATGATCTTTCAGAATATGCGGAATTGATGCTCAAGAAATCAATATTGAAATCAGTTGTCCTTCTTTATATTTTTGTGGAAACTGTGATACATTTTTTCAGGATTCAGCATTTATTTTAAGCATAAATCTTTTGCCACAATACAAATGACAATTAATTTATGCATTCTTGCTGAATAAAAGTATTAATTTCATTAAAAAAAATCTTACTGACACCACATTTTTTAACAGTATGTATGTCTACATAGTGCTTAACTTTATTTGGAAAGAGCAAGGAAAATGTTGTTATAAACACATAAGCCCTAAGGATAATGAAGTGTTTCAGATTTAGAAAAGCATCCTCATGAAAGACTCATGTCTTGTGTTCAGAGTGTGGGGGGAGCAGTGAGCATCTTTCTTTTACGATTTATTAACATGTTTTTTGCATTTACTGTTGTTTGCCACCAGAACAGCATGACACCTGTGCCGTATGTCAGTGAATAATGTGCTCTGCGCTGCATTTGGGGCATTGTTTGTGTGTTGTTTTTTTGTTGCAGAAATAGTTCACCCAAAAAGGAAAAGTCTGTCATCATTTGCTCACCCTCATGTCATTGACTTTCTTTCTTTTGAACAAGACATAAGGTCAAATTTAGCAGAATGCTTTGCTGCTGCTCTTTGTCATATCCGGTCAAGCTCCAAAAATGATGATAAAGCACCATACATTTGTGAGCTATATTCCTCAGGCTATTTGCTGAAAATGTTGCATTATCACATCTCATTCTGGTATATAAAATATGGTGGGTCAAGACATGTTTTAATAAGCAGAACAATATGTAAATGTGAGGTTTGTAACAACATGAGGGTGAGTAAATGATGACAGAATTTTCACTTATCCTGTTAAGAGGAGAAAGGTGATTCTTGAAACAATTTTCTCTGTACCTGTGTTTGTAGGTTCGTCACTTTTTGTAACTGTGCTGATGATATGCAAATCTCTGAACAGGGATAGGCCTAGGGCAAGGTCGGAGGCGGGGATCGTCAGGTGCTCCGCCCCAGTGATTGTGATTCGTGGTTCACTGGGCTGCATTACCATGACAGCTGCCTCAATATCAGGGACAGAAATACACACGTCCTCTCCGAAACACCTGCAGAGATCACAAACACAACCTTGCATTTCAGTTTTGTGCGTTATTTTAGATACACACTCTATATTTGTACATTTGTACACCCTCGCTGCTTTATCTGACATCTGACACACAGTCGGTATATCTGATTTTTTTTTATCATCTCTCCTAACAAGGCCACATGTTAAGGTCTGGGTAGATTAGATAGTGAGCAAACAATCAGTTCTCATAATCAACGTTTAATACAGGAGAAATGAGCAGGAATAAAGATCTGAGTGACTTGCCAAATTGTTATGGCAAGGCGATTGGGTCAGAGTATCTCTGAAACGGCAAGGATTGTGAGTTGCTCCCGGTCAGCAGTGGTGAGGATTTATTAACAGTGTCCGAGGAGGGACAAACATCAAACCAGTGACAGGGTGTTGGACGCTCAAGGCTCATCAATGCATGAGGGCAATGAAGATAATCCTGTCTGGTCTGAGCCAACAGAAGGTCTGCGGTGGCACAAGTCACACAAATTTTTAATGATGTTTATGGGATGAATGTGTCAGAACACACTTTACAGTGTATGGAGCTGCAGACCAATCAAAGTGCCTATAAAATGACCCCTGTCCACCGTCGAAAGAGCCTAAAAAGGGCACGAGAGCGTCAGATCTGTAACTTGGAGCAGTGGAAGAAGGTTGCTTGGTCCAATGAGTCACGTTTTCTTTTACGTCACTTGGACAACCGTGTACATGTGCGCCGGTTACTTGGGGAAGTGATGGCATCAGGATCACTGTGGGACGACGACAAGCCGGTGGAGGAAGTGTGATGCTCTAGTCTAGTGTTTTGCTGGGAAAACCCTGGGTCCGACCATTCATGTGGATGTAAATTTGACAAGTGCCACCTACTAAACATTGACTACGTTTACATGGAGAGCAGTTATCTAATTATTGACCTTAATCTGAATAAGACAATATTCTGATTAAGGTGTTTACATGAGTTGCTTTAAGAATATTCCTTTCATGTTCCCGTTGTTAAAGACCATAGATCGATTAATGGCACACGTCATTACGTCACCATGGCACGCAGTTTGACGTTCCCTCCGTATCAACAGTTTGTCTTTGTTATAGTATCATATACAGTTTTGGGTGTTTCATTTTACGAAAGCTTCAAGTGCAGTTAAAGGGTTAGTTCACCCAAAAATGTAAATTCTGTCAGTAATTACTCACCCTCATGTTGTTCCAACCCCGTAAGACTTTCGTTCATCTTCGGAACACAAATGAAGATATTTGTGATTAAATCTGAGAGCTGGATCACTCCTCCATAGGCTTCTTAAGGGATTGAAACTGGCCGGGCCAAAAGTTATGAAAGACATCGTTAAAATAGTCCGAGTGACTACAGTGGCTCAATCTTAAGTTTATCAAGCGACGAGAATACTTTTTGTGCGCAAAAAAACAAACAAAAATAACGACTTTATTCAACTATTCATTTCCTTCTCTGTGGGCCGTGATATTTCACATAGTGATATTGCGCAAAGCTTCTGTGTTGCACGTCACACGTAGGCTCACTATTGGCCGACGCTGGTCATGTGTGTGATGCGTGACGTACAACCCAGAAGCTTTGCGTAGTTTCACTACGTGAAATGTCACGGCCGTACAGGAAATGATTAGTTGAATAAAGTCGTTATTTTTATTTGTTTTTTGCGCACAAAAAGTATTCTCGTCGCTTGATAAACTTAAGATTGAGCCACTGTAGTCACTCGGACTATTTTAACGATGTCTTTCATAACTTTTGGGCCGGCCAGTTTCGATCCCTTAAGAAGCCTATGGAGTGATCCGGCTCTCAGATTTAATCACAAATATCTTAATTTGTGTTCCGAAGATGAACGAAAGTCTTACGGGGTTGGAACAACATGAGGGTGAGTAATTACTGACAGAATTTTAATTTTTGAGTGAACTAACCCTTTAATTATTTTATCATGCTATACGTGCAAATAGACGAGGTTGGATACAAATTCTGAAGCCATGATCTCTTGTTTGCCTTCAAACGGTTGACCACTGCTGCCATGTGTGTATGTGTGCTGTCGCAAATTGCGTCGAAAACTCCCACACAACGTTAATAGTGTGATTAAGGTGTGTACATGTCTGTAATGCGCTTTAATAATGCGATTTGTTGACTTTAGCCAGATTAAGGTAATCAGAAAGCCCTGTTTACATAGTAGTTTCTTAATCAGAGTATTGTCTTAACTGGCTTAATATCGGAATATTGTTGTCCATGTAAACGTACTGATTGTTCCAGACCAGTACACCCCTTCATGACAATGGTGTTCCCTGGTGGAAGTGGACTCTTTCAGCAGGATAATGCACCCTGCCCCACTTCACACATTGATCAGGAATGGTTTGAGGAGCATGATGGTGTTGCTCTGTCCTCCAAATTCCCCAAATCTCAATCCAACTGAGCATCTGTGAGATGTGCTGGAGCAACCAGTTCGATCAATGGCGGCTCCATCACGAAACCCACAGGACTTGAAGGACTTGAAGTCTTGGTGCCAGAGACCACAGGACAGCTTCAGGGCTCTTGTAGAGTCGATGCCTCTGCGGGGCGGTGTTGTTTTGGCAGGATCAACGGCATACTAGGCCGGTTGTCATAATGTTTTGGCTGTATATTGCAAAATATCTTTTCATGACAAGTAAGAAATATTTTGAGCTGGTAAATTTTCTCTGACATTGGCAGATAAAGTTAATTTTGGATCCTGCACACACTCATTTAGAGGTGAAGACATCTCCACTTCGATATAAATAATAAGACGCATTAGACAGTGATTTGTAGAGTGTAAACAAATGACTTGGAGCCGTTCCCAACTCATTACGGAGACTGCAGTGGCTGATAACTTAAAACAAAGAGGAAAAACTACGCCTGGAGTGAATTAATAACACTTCAGCTTTCTTGAATCTTGCAGTAATTGGACTTAATAAGCTTAAAAGCAACACACAAACGGTGTGCACTAGAATTAATTTACAACTCTAGTGATTTCAGCGCTGAACGACAGGAAGTAGGACGTTCCGCCCTCTCTAATTAAAGATGTTGTTTTTAATCCTGACACAAACAAACTCACATTCATCAAGACAGGAAATGAATGGAGGAAACCATCTGTGACTAAAGGTTTAGATACACTGAGGCTTGAAAAGATTAATCCACATTTCATTGTGAAACAGCGGTTTGCAAAAAGATACAGTAGGTTTATACTATAATGTGATTTTACTTATTATTTTAGAATATGTGACTACTGGGTGATAACTAAACAAACAAGCTATATTGATGCACGCTATATGACATCTTTAGCCCTATTCTGATGTTAATCATTTCTCAGGGTGATGTGTGTCGAACATTTGCATGGATTTTCCATGCATGCATTCAAATGGCAGTTGATTAAAGAAGGCATTCTGCCATTTATACAACAAACCCGGATGTCTGCCTCAGATCTGTGTAATCTCATGAGCATATTCCATCATGGCATTGAGAAAAGCCAAGTGTGAACTCTCTTTATTGTTCGATATTGAATATTTAATTGAGCATGCTGATGTACTTCTATTTTTTACATTTAGATTGCCTTTGTCTTTGTTTGCATTCATCTATCGTTAACCTAAAATGAATCTTTCTTAACAATAATAATTTAATGGCATTTTTACAGTAAATGTCATCTTTTGTAAGTCTCAAAGTAAATATATATTTTTTTAATATTGTAAATTATAATGTTGTGTTGCATGCAGTGCTGGGCAATTAATCAAATTTTATTTTTTTATTTTTTTTGTCTTTGTTTTTTTTTCCTTCCAACGATTATGAACACAAGAAAAAATCTTTTTTTGCAATGATGTTTAGTAGTAGTAAGTAAATGTTTAGTACTTTTCACTGAAATCATTACTTCTAATCATTAATTCAGTGTATAAATAAAATCAAAATAAGTTAGATCGAACATTTTGTTCAGTGCTGTGAAAGTGCAATATAATCTAATTTATATAAATTATTTTTAAATTATTTATATATATATATATATATATATATATATATATATATATATATATTATTTTTTTTTTCTTCCCTGTTTAATTACAGGTCCTTCTCAAAAAATTAGCATATTGTGATAAAGTTCATTATTTTCCATAATGTAATGATAAAAATTAAACGTTCATATATTTTAGATTCATTGCACACCAACTGAAATATTTCAGGTCTTTTATTGTTTTAATACTGATGATTTTGGCATAAAGCTCATGAAAACCCAAAATTCCCATCTCAAAAAATTAGCATATTTCATCCGACCAATAAAAGAAGTGTTTTTAATACAAAAAAAAAGTCAACCTTCAAATAATTGTTCAGTTTTGCACTCAATACTTGGTCGCGAATCCTTTTGCAGAAATGACTGCTTCAATGCGGCGTGGCATGGAGGCAATCAGCCTGTGGCACTGCTGAGGTGTTATGGAGGCCCAGGATGCTTCGATAGCGGCCTTAAGCTCATCCAGAGTGTTGGGTCTTGCGTCTCTCAACTTTCTCTTCACAATATCCCACAGATTCTCTATGGGGTTCAGGTCAGGAGAGTTGGCAGGCCAATTGAGCACAGTAATACCAAGGTCAGTAAACCATTTACCAGTGGTTTTGGCACTGTGAGCAGGTGCCAGGTCGTGGTGAAAAATGAAATCTTCATCTCCATAAAGCTTTTCAGCAGATGGAAGCATGAAGTGCTCCAAAATCTCCTGATAGCTAGCTGCATTGACCCTGCTCTTGATAAAACACAGTGGGACCAACACCAGCAGCTGACATGGCACCCCAGACCATCACTGACTGTGGGTACTTGACACTGGACTTCAGGCATTTTGGCATTTCCTTCTCCCCAGTCTTCCTCCAGACTCTGGCACCTTGATTTCTGAATGACATGCAAAACTGAGCAACAGTCCAGTGCTGCTTCTCTGTAGCCCAGGTCAGGCGCTTCTGCCGCTGTTTCTGGTTCAAAAGTGGCTTGACCTGGGGAATGCGGCACCTGTAGCCCATTTCCTGCACACGCTGGCTCTGGATGTTTCTACTCCAGACTCAGTCCACTGCTTCCGCAGGTCCCCCAAGGTCTGGAATCGGTCCTTCTCCACAATCTTCCTCAGGGTCCGGTCACCTCTTCTCGTTGTGCAGCGTTTTTTGCCACACTTTTTCCTTCCCACAGACTTCCCACTGAGGTGCCTTGATACAGCACTCTGGGAACAGCCTATTTGTTCAGAAATTTCTTTCTGTGTCTTACCCTCTTGCTTGAGGCTGTCAATGATGGCCTTCTGGACAGCAGTCAGGTCGGCAGTCTTACCCATGATTGCGGTTTTGAGTTATTAAACAGCTGGGAGTTTTTAAAAGCCTCAGGAATCTTTTGCAGGTGTTTAGAGTTAATTAGTTGATTCAGATGATTAGGTTAATAGCTCGTTTAGAGACCCTTTTCATGATATGCTAATTTTTTGAGATAGGAATTTTGGGTTTTCGTGAGCTGTATGCCAAAATCATCAGTATTAAAACAATAAAAGTCCTGAAATATTTCAGTTGGTGTGCAATGAATCTAAAATATATGAACGTTTAATTTTTATCATTACATTATGGAAAATAATGAACTTTATCACAATATGCTAATTTTTTGAGAAGGACCTGTATATTTAAAGGTCAAGGAAATCCACTGATTAAAAAAATTCTATAAATGAATGATGTCAGTAAGTTGGTAAATAATAATACAATTATTATCATTTTAATAAATTTATTTTTTATAAAATCATATATGTGATCACGATTTTTAATGTATGTTTTATAATATTTTTAATAATTTTTAGACAAAGCATATAATTTTTTCTGTTTAGTTAAAACACAAAAATAATTATTAGCTTATTGTTGTTGGCCAGAATTATAATATCAGTGCATCCCCGATGCATTTGGACAGGGAAATAAATTGCCAATACATTTTTTGGGTGTTAAATAATGTCATATATACCAGTAAAATGACTAATGCAAACCTTAGTAAATCACCTTGCATGATTCATTTAAATACTCTCTTCCCATAAATTTTGCGTCTGAAAGGGAAACTCCTACAAACGCATATGCAACAAGTTCATCATCAAAAATAACTGTCCACGCCTTTCCAGCGCTAATTTTTCACTGCGTGTCTTAAGTAAATTCTGACGGTAGTTTTTTAGCAGACTGTTAGTAAATCTGGCCCCTAGTGTTTGTAAAAAATAATATAAATGTAAATGCCTCGGGTCACCATGCAAAACAAATACTGTCCGCATAGGTCTATAGTCTCTATTTTCAATCATTGCTTTCCCTGCAAGTTGCTTTAATTCTGAGTCATATAATTTGCTGTGCTATGTTTGTCTCATTGGCAAGCTATGTGTTATTTTATTTGCAGAAGCGAGTGTAAATGAATGGTGTAAATTACTTTTACAAACACAACACATGGTCGTGTCTCGTGTCTTAATATAAGTCTGTGATCTGCATGTTATTGAGAGAAGCAAGCGTACAATTATAGCTATGTCTTACTCAAAATAATATAATACTTATATGATTGCCTTTATTGTGTGTGTTTTAGCGTTATGCATGTGCGTGTGTGTTTTCAAGCTAATTCCCAGCAGATCTAGCCGAAAAGACTCCGCCCACAGCCTGTCTCGAAGCTCAGAGGGGCGGGTCATAATCCTCCAGGGGCTTATGCATATTCATGCTCTGTTCTGAATAATTACAGGGTGCCGATGGGTGCGCGTGTGCTCCAAAAAAACAAATCTCTGTCACTCTCTTTCCATTTCCCTGTCTGTACATAAAAATGAAACCTCCCTAAGCATTGAATACGAATTAGACAAAAACAGGAAAAGTGAAAAGGTTACAAAAAAAGGGTTGGTATCGCTCATACTCGGGGTTGAGGATTTGAACTAGACAGTAAGCAGACAGCAATCTAGCAGAAAATGTACAAATCTAGTTTCAAATACTGTATTAATTTTCCTACGATACAGCTTCTGCATATTGTGTTTCACAGTATGATGCAGTTTTAATAACTTTTCCAGCCCTGAGCCGAAGCAAATTAAAATTAAGCTCTTGTATGACTCCGGGATGTGAATCACAACTGTGTAACATTGAAATGAATGGTTTGATCATTCATAATGCCATATTTCAGAGCTAACACTCTAGTATTCTAGTTCTCATGAATATTTATGATCTTACTGCACTGCCGTTGAGATCCGGAGGTGACGCGCTCCCATACTGGGAAACTGCCGAGAGTTGATGTAAGAAACTTTCCTCAGTGCGCCGTTCATCTGCTCCAGATCCTCGCCCTCCATCACCACCAGAGACTGAGCGGGATTCAAGTGAAACTGGGACAAATAGACACACAAAAGTACATTTAAAGTGTGTGCTTGAAGCAGACTTATGCAAAAATCGGGATCAAAGAAATAGCTCTGAATCTAGTGTGAATCTGAATTTAGTTGTTCACATTCTGTACTGAATTGGAATTAGAATTGGAATTAATGAATGAATGGAAGAGGAATTTACTAAGGCTGAACGATTAATTGCATTTGCGATAATATCGCGATATGATAAAACGCGATTTTCTAATCGCAACGTGCGCGATTTGAGGTGGTCCCGTGACGCGAGCGAAAGAGCGAAGAACTCGGCTGGGCTGCATCAACTTTTCATGCTGTCCTTGCTTTAACCTGTTGCGCAATGGCCTCTGGCTCGACGGAACAGTCAGAAACTGACACAGCTGAGACTTTAATCTCGAAGAGGAACAGCACGTCGGTGGTTGTGGAACTATTTTGGTTTCAAAAAAGAAGATGCTGCGCAGCTTCACGTGTTATGCAGAGCATGTTGTGCTCCCGTTGCTACTTCTCGGGGTAACACTACAAACTTGTTTCAGCATTTAAAAAAATACCACAAATCAATGTATGACAGTTGTATGACCAAAATACCGAGCACCAGTGCGCCAGACAAGCCAAATACCTTAAGACAGGGATCACTGACGGAAATGTTCGAAAGTGTCACTCCGTATGAACGTAATTCAAAACGGCACGGGGAAATCACTCGGGCAATAACCGAGTTCATAGCCAAAGATATGATGCCTCTTAGCACGGTGACCAAGCCTGGGTTCGTGGCATTGGTAAATACTCTTGATAAACGGTACAGTATACCCTCCCGTACATACTTCAGTCAGACTGCCATACCGGAGCTGTACAAAAAGTGCAAAGAGAAAGTCGCCGCGGAGCTTAAAACGGTGGAGTTTTTTGCTAGCACTACTGATATGTGGTCAAGCCGCACAGCTTAGCCTTACCAGAGTCTAACAGTCCATTTTATTGATGAAGATTTCAACCTCAGAGCTCGCTGCCTACAAACTACCTACTTCCCAGACGACCACACAGGGGAAAATATTGCAGCCGGCCTGAGAGAAGGGCTTGCCAGCTGGGATCTCCACGAGGAGAATCACGTCTGCATCACTACGGACAACGCGTCAAATATGGTGCTGGCTGCGCGGCTTAATGAATGGATGAGGCTCCAGTGTTTTGGGCACAGATTACATCTTGCCATTGGTAAGTTATGTCGTGTGTGTGCGTGCGTGCGTGCGTGTGCAAAAGAGAGAGATGTGTCAATTAGTAATAAGCTGAATATACATTACAAATATATAAATTATGTTGTGGAAAGTGGATGTGATTGTGGATGTGACTTTTCTAATATGTAAATTTAAATATGTTTTGATTTTATGTGCTTATATGTATGTCTGTGGTGGAATGGCCACCTGCATTTCTTTTTTTTTTTTTTTTTTTTTTTTTTTTTTTTACATTTTAAAAATAAACACACGTGTGTGTGTGTGTGTGTGTGTGTGTGTGTGAGAGAGAGAGAGAGAGAGAGAGAGAGAGAGAGAGAGAGAGAGAGAGAGAGAGAGAGAGAGAGAGAGAGAGAGAGAGAGAGAGAGAGAGAGAGAGAGAGAGAGAGAGAGGAGTGTGGATGTGTGGATTTCAGAATTACAGAGAATGTGAGTGTGTAATAGTGATAGCCTTGTATCACAAAACTCAAATTGTGTGTAATACACTACTTTTTATTTCTTTCAGAAAATGCACTCAAAGATGACAGAGTGTCAAGGGCAACAGCACTGTGCAGGAAGCTGGTGGGGCACTTTTCCCACAGTTGGAAGAAAAAGGCAGCACTGATGGAGGCACAGAGGGAGCTCAAACTCCCTGAGCACAACCTGATAACAGAGTGCCCAACAAGATGGGGATCTAAAGAAATGATGATTGCCAGAGTGCTTGAACAGGCCAAAGCCATTTCTCAGGTATTGTCTGGAGATAGATATGCACGCTCCCTCATCCCAACCTGGCAGGATATTGATGTGTTGGAGTCGATTCACAAGGCACTGCATCCTCTACTGGAATTTACTGATGCTCTTTCTGGAGAGGAGTATGTGAGCATCTCCTACCTCAAGCCAGTTCTCCACCTTTTTGCCACATCAGTCCTGGCTGAAGATGCTGAGGACACTGACCTGACTAAATCAATAAAAACCAAAGTCCTAGCATACCTCAATAACAAATATGGTGACCCAAACATCCAGGAGCTTTTGGATGTTGCCTGTTTCCTGGACCCTAGGTTCAAAATACAGTACATCAGTACTGAAAACATCCCTGCTATCAAGACCCGACTGAAGACAGAGATTGTAGACTTAGCACAACGTACATATCATCGGGTAAGTGATAATTATGTATTTCACAAAAACACAATTTTTTCTGTAAAATCTAACTGGAAAACTAATGGCTGTTGTTTTTATCTAATAGGAGAAGAGGTCTCGTACTGAAACTGTTCAGATGCCTCAAAGTGCACAGCCTTTGGGGGAAAAGGCAAAGAGGTCTCTTGGCAGTTTTTTCAAGACCAGTGCAGCCTCTCCTTCTTTGCCTGTAAATCTTGAAGATGCCGCAGAGGCAGAGGTAAACAATTACCTGATGACTCCTACCATTGATGGAGAAGATGATCCCTTGGCTTGGTGGAGGGTGCACAAGATCAGCTACCCACAGTTGTGCATCATGGCCCGCAAGTATCTTTGTGTACCTGCCACAAGCGCTCCCTCAGAACGTCTTTTTAGCACAGGAGGGAATATTGTGACTTGCACTCGCACATCCTTGAAGCCAGCAAAAGTCAATATTCTGGTTTTCTTAGCAAAAAACCTGTGAGCCACTGAGAACAAAACTGTTGGATCATTATGGCTGGCAGTGCTATACTCGTAGTGAACTTTAGTCTTTGTGGTTTGTTATTGTTGTGTACTTGAGATACGTGAGGTTGATCTATTCTATATTATAATGTTCAAATAGTTTTTTATTGTCTAATTTAAAAGTGCATTTCTCAGTTTTTTATTTATAACTTTATTTACTTTGATTGATTTACTTTGAAGCAAATTCTATGTTTCAGTTGTGTGAAATGTTACTGACTTGTTGGGAGCAGTAAGATAATTATCATTTTTAATTATTTTTTTTCTCAAGACTGTACATTTTGCACACAGTCAGTGTTTACAAAGTGCATGCCTTTGTTTAAATTATTTAAATGCACAGTGGCAAAGCCACAGATGTTTCTGTAATGAGCAGTTCAATAAAAATGTCATTTAATTTAAGTCATACATGTTTTAATTGAATTCTAACAAATAGGCCCAGCCTATGGGAAAGAACATTTCACACTAAATGTATCTAATATTGTGTTGGGTCATATTTAAATCATTCATTATGTTTTGTTGGGAAAAAAGAGGATAAAATAAAAAAAATCGCATATTAAATCGCAATCGCAATATTGGAGAAAAAAATCGCAATTAGATTATTTTCCCAAATCGTTCAGCCTTAGAATTTACAGAATACAAAGAAATGCAGTACAGGAATTGTAACAAGTGTTGCAACAAACATAACGATTACATAATGCATATTTATTTTGAATGCATTTTGAAATGTTATGTTTTGCTCTAAATCATTTGAATGGCTAAATATGGTTCTTGTGTATGTAGTGTTTTTGATCTGTATCCAAGAAAAGTCTGGAAATTCATTGTTCAAAATATGTGGGAACCTTGTAGGTGACATTTCAAATATTAGTTTTTTTTTTTTTGTATGTTAACAGGATTGTCTAGGTGATTCATAAAATTAAATGTATTATGATAAACTACACTTACAGCTGTTGAATTTCATTACATTTTTTATTCTAATTTAAAAGTGCCCCTATTACGCTTTTTCAAATATTACATTTCATACAGTTTGTAATGCAGCTGTTTGCGAAAGTAAAGTTTTAAAGATCAAATTGCACGACGTTAAAGTTTTTTTCTCCTAATTAAAAGATTCGATTCTGAATTGCTGAAACGAGTCGTCAGTAATTCCAGTTTCACTTCCTGTTACATACATATGTAACAATGTAACAAATTTGCGTAATGCCAGCCTATGGTCTTCATTGTCTGCCCGCAAACAACGTTTACTTTTACCTGGAAGAGTTTGGTTCTTACAGAGCCCGGAAAGTCACCTGTGGGGAAAAAAAAACAATCCGTTTTGCAATCCGTCCCCTTAGTTTATAAACTGTACTCACAAATTCTTGTATTTTTCTTTTTTATATGTGAAGTCTTTTTTTGCTTATTTTCTGAGCTCCTCCCAAAAAAAAATGGACTTTAAAGATACAAGTAAACGTCGTTTTTTATTTAGAAAATTCAAGAAATGATCCATTTTAAAAAAAAATTGCAAAAACTGAAGGCACGGTTTACAAATCTGAGAGCACGGATTAGGAACTCGGGTACGATTTATTAATCCGTGGGCACGATTTGTTAAACCGAGGGAACAGTTTAAGAATTCGTGCATGAGTACAGTGAGTACAAACTGAGGGGACGGATTGCAAAACCGGCGTCGCCACGGATTGTTTTTTTTCCCCCCACAGGTGACTTCCCGGGCTCCGTTGGTTCTTGTTGTGGACATGTCGAGAAGACACTTTTCAGTGCTGCGAATCCACTTTGATGCTCTGGAATTGATACAGTAAAATCATTGCCATCTTTACTGTTCATATCACTGGGTATCAAGTGCTGAGGAAGCAGAATCGTCCAATCACAACAGACTGGGTCATCTGACCAATCAGAGTAGAGTAGGCTCTCGGATAGGAGGGTGTTTAGAGTTAGACTAAATCTTTAAACTAACCATTTTCAGACTCTTTGAGAGATGAGATGATGTGAAATTATGAAAAAGTGTTTTTAGACCTCAGATGTATGTAAATATATTGTAGGAGACCTCTAAAACTAAATTAGGAACCTTTAAAATAGCATAACAGGGGCACTTTAAACTCAAATTTTGCATCCCGTTTGGCACGGCAAGAACTGAACTGGAATTTAAAAGGCATTACCAATGTGTCTCTGAATAGAGCTCGATCCTGCTTTAAGCTTATGGTTTGATCAGATCACCTGAGCGAAGGAACACCTGTCGTCTGTCTCTCACTAACACTCTCCCTCTCTGTCTGTAAAACCTGCTTTCATTTGATCCTCGAATCTTCCCTAGAGCTTCTTCCATACAAAAGAACAGAATAAAAGAAAGCAAAGCAGAAAATGGAGAATGTGCGCACAGAAATATCTCTCCTTAAGTCATGTCTCCTGGCTTTTCTTTGTCTCTTCCTCACTCTCTGCTTTTCCTACAAAATAGTGATTTTCCACTCTTTTCTATGGTTTCATGATAGACTATGGTAAACTTGTTTTTTATATTAACGCAAAGTGACTTACAGCGCATTCAGGCTATGTAAAATTTCCAGCATGTGCATTCCTTAAAATCAAATCTGTGACCTCGAATTACTAGTAAAAGCAAAAAAATGATATGCGCTGCACACTGGCATGTTGAGTTTAGAGTCTTAGTTAGCTTTGTGTGTGTGTGTGTGAAACCTTTATCCTCGGTCCGAGGCTTTCCAGTAAAGTGATGTCCAGCCCTTCTTTGCAGGCCTGTAGGCAGGAGATGATCGTCTGGCTTTCAATCTTCCCCGAGCGTATCGTCAGTCCAGACAAACTGCCTCGGAAATACTGTGTGAACTTAGCTTTAGAGACCTCGCCACCTACAAACATAAATATGGACATGCTAACAGATAATAAAAACCTCCCAAACTTATAATGTTAATGCTTCTAACAGACAATTTGGCTTTTCCATGACCATGCTTTACCCTCTGTCTGACAAATATAATTAAATGGGCTGTTTTTGCTACTGTTAATAAATTAATACTCAGCAAGGATGCATTAAATGGATCGAAAGTGACATTTATAGTATTTTAAAATATTATAAATAAATAAATGCTGTTCTTTTGAACTTTTCATACATCAAAGAATCCAGATTTTTTTTATTACGGTTTCCACAAAAATATGAAGAATATGAAATTCAACTGTTTTCAACATTAATCATATGAAATGTTAACTGAACAGCAAATCATCATATTATACTGATTTCTGAAGGATCATGTGACACTGAAGAAATTCAGCTTTGATCACAGGAATACATTACATTTTAAAATATATTCAAATAGAACACATTAAATTTAAATTGTAATAATATTTCACAATATTACTGTTTTTACTGTAGTTTTGTGAGCATAAGAGACTTCAAAAAGTCTAGTTTCCATAAATAATCATGGTGGACTGGGGAGGGAGTTTGGCATTATAAATAGTAGCGTAGACTTTATATTTCCATATTATACTGTATTGAACTGTTTATTTTAAAAAAGAAACAAACCAAAAAAATCCATTTGTTATTTTTTTTTTTAATGTCCCGTTTTAGTAAACTAGGTTCCTTATATATAAAAATGAACTACGCAGCCATTACAGGAAGGGATTAAGGCACGTCTGAATTCAATTTAAACATATTATTCCATTTGTAGTATGAAATAAGTCAATGGAGTCATTAAATATTGACCTGTTATATCTAAAGCTCTCTTTATTTGTTCTAGATCATTAGACGTAATGAAGCCGTTATTTTTGGAGGCACCATCAAAAAGTTATTGAGTTTCAGACGAAGCCATGGTTACACAGATCCACTTTATTCATCACACACACACATATATAAAATAAATGTTGGCTTAGCTAGAGGTCTTCAGAAGCTGCCTTGAAACGAAGCAATCATATGATTAAACCTATATTCACTGCTGAAGCCAGAGATAATGAGCAATTGCCTGCATCTCTGCTCTGTATGAGATGAGTGTGTGTGCAATGAAGCCTCTCTGAGTGTGTTTGTGATCAGGTGACAGTGAGCCTCGGGCGATACTGATGTAGGCTACTGATGAGCCCGGTTTGTGTGTGTGTGTGTGTGGGTTTACATGGATGTAGTTTAGGGAGAAAATTGTCACATCAACATTGGTTGAGACAGTTCAGCCTTGCTATGATTCTCAAACAAACAGATCAATGTGTTGATAGAGCCACAGCGCTGCACGTTTCAGGAGAATAGTGAAATAGAGGTCTGCGCTGTCATTAAGCCTGAACATAATAGGCTTGTGAAGCGACCCGTTTGGTATCGTCAAGGTTTAAGATGGAAACCTGCTTACTTTTGTGCATGGGTGCTTTTATGATGTTTTTTTTTTATTTGGTGATCAAGAGTTGCATATGCAGCATATAAATAAATGTATATTTTTTGGGATTAACTATTCCTTTAATGCACATAAATGTTGTGGTAAAAAACAATATTATTTATATACTTTTATAGTATTGATATTTTAGATTAGCTTTTTTTTTTAATTTATTGTAGTTTAAATTTTAGTCTTTTATGTGCTTTTGTAATTAGGGCCCAAGCCTTGAAAAGGCGAAGGCCCTATTGTTTTCCTTAGGATTTTTTTTTTTTTTCTCCTCTTTTATTTTTCTTACGACTATTCGGGCACTTTTGGGGCTCTTAACGTGCACGAAAACTCTTGAAACTTTGCACACTGGTCAGAACCCGTGGCCATCAGGGTTGGGGTGAAGCTGGTACCTGGGCGTGGCAGGGGGGCTCGACAGCGCCCCCTGGAACGGGGTCCGAAAACTTGGTCCATAAATCAAACACGCTTGTATGTAAGAATATGAAACTCGGTACACATATAGATCTCATCGGTTCATATATACTTCATGCTCTTACTTTTTACCCCAGCCCAACAGGAAGTCGGCTATTTAGGGTTGTTTGTAAAACGCATGCAATGGAATTTAAAGTACTTCTCCTAGAGAATTCAAAGAAATGCCACGAAACTCGGTCAGCATGAAGTCAAGACATTGAGGATGAAAAATTGCGAGGGGATTTTTGATATCTCGAACGGTTTGGCCGTGGCGAGGAAACGAAATTATGGCGAGAAACGTGAAACAGGAAGTGTGTTATAACTTCTTTATACATTAACTGATCTTGATGAAACTTCAGCAGTGTGTTCGTTGTAAGAGGCCGATCACATGGATGTGACTATTGTGAGTCAAAGTTATAGCGCCACCAACTGGCAGCAGGAAGTGTGTCACTTTCAAAATCCTTTGAAATCACCCTCTTATTTTTACCCGATTTGCTTCAAACTTTATGTGTATAATGTAAACACACGGCAGATGTAGACCTGTGAAAGGATTATTGATATCTTTGATACTGTTGCCGTGGCAACGCATCATACTATAAAATTCTTTTAGGATGCTTTTGAGACTCTTAGCATGCTTGACATTGCATGAAACTCGACAGACATGTCACATTTATTAGCCAGTAGACATGTGCAAAGTTTCAGGAACGGACGTGGTGCAGGGGCTCAGTAGCGCCACCTTTTGACAAAAGTGAGAGGGTTAGTTTCATAGTTTTACCTGCAATCATAAAACTCGGTAGGAATATTGTTCAGATCAAGCCGGACAACTTTCTAATTTACAGATTTTGGCTCCGAACAAAAGAAAGTCAGATATTTTGGTTTGAATGTGGATGTTTCGGAGTAATCTCTGTCACTCTCTCCCTCTCTCTGCGTACCTCTGTGTCTGTGGGGGAGGGGGATGTGTCTGTTTGAGTGAGAATGCTTTTAATTATTGTTGTTCAAGGTTTCGGGGGCTTTTGGGGCCCTTAACATCCTCTAAAACTCTTGAAACTTTGCACACGGGTCAGAACCCGCGGCCATCAGGGCCGGGTTGAAGCTGGTACCCGGGCGTGGCAGGGCGGCTCGACAGCGCCCCCTGGACTGGGATTCGAACACTTTTCCATAAGTCAAACACACTTGCATGTAATAATATGAAACTCGTTACACTTATAGATCTCATTGGGTTGAACAACTTTCGTGCTCTAAGTTTTACGACAGTCCAACAGGAAGCCGGCTATTATGGTTTGTTTGGAAAAGCATACCCCTGAAATTCGATTTAATTCTCCTTGGGAATTGATCGGATTCCAACCAAACTCGGTCAGCATGAAGTCAAGACATTGAGGATGCTAAATTCCAGACGGATTTTTGATATCTCGAACGGTTTGGCCGTGGCGAGGAAATGAATTTTATGACTAAAAAAGGACACATAAAGTGTGTTATAACTTTGCTCGTTTTACCTACAGTTACAAAACTTGCCACGGATATTGTTCTCATAAAGCCGATCAATTTTCTAATTTAAAGTCATTAGCTCTGAGCAACAGAAAGTCAGATATTGTAGTTTGAATGGATTTCTTGTGCCCCCTGCCATTCTCTCTGTGTGTGTGTGTGCGTGTGTCTGTGTGGGGAGGGGAGCAGAGGGGAGGGGAGGGAGAGAGGGTTGGTGTCTGTGTTTATGTGTGTGTGTGTGTGTGTGGCTGGCTGTATGATTTTTCCTGCATTAAAGGATAAAGAAATCTCTAAGTCCTTGTCTTTTCGCATAACAATTTTTGTATTTTTTTTTAAATGACAAAATATGCATATAACCCCCATCTTTTAAATGTATAGTTTGCTTTAAATAAAAGTAAGATTGTTTTGGTAATTGAAGCTGAATGAATTTAAAATTCATCTGCTATATTTCAATATATTTGTTTTCCTTAAAATTTTAAAACACTAACCTCATTCTCATCTGAATTACAATTTTTTTTTTTTCTGTATGAAATAATACTCTGACTAAAAACACTTTTGATGTTTCTTTTTTAATCAATGTAGAATGTGTAAGTAGAATGTGTAACTTAAAAATAAACAGATTAGAGCTCTGTTTGAGGACAATCCTGTGTGGGGAGGTGGCAGGGGGATTTATCTTTTGGGTGAGATTTAATTTAAATTATTGTTTTTCAATGTAGCATTCTAATCAGGTAAAGCAAGTAATATTCTCTGTATCTTTATATAAATATACACACATGGTGGTAATGGCGCAGTGGATAAAACACATGCCTTTGGTGTGAGAGACCCGGGTTCGAATCCACTGTGAGACACCAATGTGTCCCTGAGCAAGACACTTAACCCCTAGTTGATCCAGAGGTGTGCGACCTCTGACATATATGGCAATTGTAAGTCGCTTTGGATAAAAGCGTCAGCTAAATGAATGAATGTAAATGAATATGTGTGTGTGTGTGTATATATATATATATAGCTACAAGCAGCGATTACGGGCCCAAGCTGGTGGCACCGCAACCCCGGTTATAGCGCCACCAACTGGCAGCAGGAAGTGTGTCACTTTCAAAATGATTTGAAATCACCCTCTTATTTTTACCTGATTTGCTTCAAACTTCACTACTATAATGTAAACACACGGCAGATGTAGACCTGGATGTAGACCTGACCTTTCAGAAGGTTGCTCACGCATACTTTGTGATTGATATGTGCCCTCGATGCGCACTTTTGCAGAGCCCACACCAATGCAAGCTCTACAGCACACTTCTTTTCGACAGTCAAAGCAGGGTTACATTTTTTGGCACGTCGTGCACAATAACCCTAAAGGCACCAGGGTGGCGGTGCCACCGGCTTTATATATATATATATATATATATATATATATATATATATAAATATAGCTGCGAGCAGCGATTACGGGCCCAAGCCGGCGGCACCGCCACCCCGGTGCCTTTAGGTAACTAAAGGCACCGGGGTTGCGGTGCCACCGGCTTGGGCCCGTAATCGCTGCTCGCAGCTATATTTTTTATTCGTTTTTAAAAAAATTTTTTTATAGATTTAGTTTTTACTTAGTTTTATTTCTATTTAGTTTTAGTCATTTTAGTACTTCAACTTAATTTTTTTAGTTGCTTAGTAGTTTACGTTTTTATAGTTTAAGATTTTCATCTAATGTGTAAACTTAATTTTAGCTTTATTTTGATTGACAAAAACGATTTAAAATAGTTAAAAAAAATAGTTTTAGTTGGTTAACAATAATACATTAACAATACGTTCTTTGACCAAAAATATCCATGCTGGCCTATTACAGTGTTAAAAATATTGTATCACCTATAATCTGTGAATACAAAGCGCTGTACAAACTGAACCAAAACCGTGACCACAGAAGTGATCCATGAGAAACCGTTATACCCCTCAAGCTCCAAAAATCTTAAAAAGAGCAAATGTCCAGTCAGCTCTCACATCACTTTCCCTTTGATAATCTTCCACATGCTCAAGTGATTTTGTATAATGATCTGTCTCTCTCTTATATGTCTTTCATTGTTAAACAAAGACGCTCAGAGACACAGAAAGGCAGAATGGGCAGGTCAAGAAGTCAACTTTTGTTTTGTTTTTTAGTTAGAAGTTGCTGCTTATGATTGCTAAAGAGAAAAAAAGAGGGAAAGATTGAGGAAAATAAGTTTTCAAAAGCAAAAGAAAGAATGCTAGTGAGGTAAAGAGATGTTCGTTTAGTAAAGAATTGTTCATTGTGGATTTGCATGCTGTGAGAATTTACATTTCTACTTTCAAGTTAAAGGGATAGTTCACTTTGAAATAAATTGTTGGTATGTTTTAGCTTACCTCAAGAGCATCCAAGATGTAGGTGTCTTTGTTTCCGCAGAAGTTTCAATTTTGATATTTTTAGGTCAAACCGTTCTTGTCTGTCAGTCATATAATGCAGGTCTATGGTCACCACCTCAAAGAGCATGCACAGAGAAGTCCAAATTAAACATGATTTAATGACTCGTAAATGTAAGTACACATTGATGGCCTAAGACACGAAACGAGTGGTTTGTGTGAGAAAACGAACAGTATTTATATCGTTTTTACCTCTTGTAAACAGCCACATCCAAGTGATCTGAGGGCGCGGGCGCTTCGGTCTGCCCAAGCGCCGGAAGTGATCTCTCGCTTACACGTGTACGTCACTCATTGTTTACACAGAGATTTCGGAAGTGTTACCTTTCACTGTGAAGATCTAAACATATTTAGATATATACAGGATATCGCAATGGACGATGATTTCGATATATCAACAGACGATGTTGAATTTTTTTCGCAACCGCGCAAGAGATCACTTCCATTGTGTACTTACATTTACGAGTCATTAAATCATGTTTAATTTGGACTTCTCTGTGCATGCTCTTTGAGGTGGACCCCATAGACCTGCATTTTATGACTGACAGACAAGAACGGTTTGACCTAAAAATATCAAAATTGAAACTACTGCGGAAACAAAGACACCTACATCTTGGATGCTCTTGAGGTAAGCTAAAACATACCAAAAATTCATTTCAAAGTGAACTATCCCTTTAATGACCTCTGGAGCCTCTTTTGAACCCGCCCCCTTTCAATGTCACATGCACTTTAACCACACCCACAAACCATGCTAGCCACGCCCACACCCCTAACCTTGCCAGCAGGCTCCTACAGTCAGCTGCACGTCAATCTGAGAGGAGTGGATGGGCCAGTCATCTGTCACGAGGTAAGGGTCATAGGTCACGCCGTCCACATATAGAGTCACCACTGGGAAGTCAACGCCGATGACGTAATAATGCCACTCCTTATCACAGATCTGAGAGAAAGAAAGAGACAGAGAATTTCACCATATCAGCATTATTTTTGTTTTCATTTTTGCTTCAGAGTCGAGAAAATTCAAATAATGACTTTACATTAGTTTAATGTAACTTGACTGCAGAATGCCACAGTTATTTTTTTTTTTTTTTGGCAGCAGCGATTTACACTAAGTGCAAATAGCGATATATTCTATTTACACTATGTAAAAATAGCTGTATTTTCTTTGAAATAAGTGTAAATAGTAGTTAGATAATATTTGCACCTCAGTATTTTAGTACATTATAAAAGAGTATGCAATAATAACATTGAGTGTAAATGATTATATTTATTAAATAAACCTGCCTTATTTGGACAATATAGCCCTCCTTACACTTACAACCTAACCCTACCCGATAAACACTTTATTATTAAGTAACCATTAGGTACTTTAATTCCACTTTTCACATATTTTCTTCATATTTATTGAAAATGAATGCCTTTTCAATCTGATATGCGATGGGAAAAGTGAGAAGAGTTCTGAAAAAGGCGGATTTGAAGTCGCGTTGAAGTATCTGCTGCTGACTGGTCACAGGTGTGTTTACGAATTTTACGAGGTGGCTAATTCGTACAAATTCATACAACCTCACTCGTACTAATTTGTACGATTCCTGCTAAATCGTACATATTTTACGAGTTGCCCAATTCGTACGAATGACCTACCGCTGACCCCACCCCTAAACCTAACCGTCACTGGGGTTTAGACAAATCGTACGAATTCATACGAGTGAGGTCGTACGAATTCGTACGAATCAGCCACATTTTACTCACTCGTACGAATTGGTTGCGAGATAGCGTTGGTTTTTTGTACTTTTGACTGGCCCAACCAGGCATTGGTGGACGGAGTTAGTGTAAATAGTGTAAACACTTAGGGTGTATTCACACCAGGAAAGTCCGATAGTTCACTTGCTCTGGTCCGGACCAAATTTTTTTTTTTTTTTTTTTTTTGGTACGGTTCGCTTTCACACTGCTCTTTTTGCAAGTGAACCAAAATGTGTAAACAAAACCACACGTGTGCTAAGGTCGTCCATTCATTGGACAAGGATTCTAGGGAAATCAGGAAGTGCAAAAAAGGCTCAGCATGGAGATATTTCGTACTGCAATATTTGTTATTTTACTAATTTTGTGTTATATTCTGTACAAACGCAATATGAAGAAACTGCGCAGAAGACGGATAAGGTATAAAGTTTTGATTCATAGAGAAGGGCTATGTTCACACATTCAAATAATGAGATTCTTATTGTATATACTACTAACAAGTGCTGTCAATGTTAACGCTTGCGATTTAAGTTTGTCCAGTTTAACGCAGCATCATCCTTGTAACTATTATATGAACTGCAAAAGCTTTTTTTTGCATCTATGCGCGATTAGACTAAAGAGAACGCGCTGTATGTGAATGTCCTGATGCACACACTCATTCATTCATTCCATTCCAATGATGCACATACGACGCGCAGAAACTTGACTCTTCTGAGAAACTTTACTGCCGTACCATGAGTGCAGCAGGCGTAATGATATGACGCAGCGCCTGAAAATAGGCTACCTTCCGTCAATAGAGCTGGGGGCTATTTTCAGGCGCTGCGTCATATCATTACGCCTTTTAAATAGGAAAAATATCGAAACACTTTGGTGATTTTTGTTTGAGAAATGCTAATAATCTTGTCCACTTCAATGATGTATGCTAAGATATGCTAAAAGTGGTACCGCCAGAACCGGAGATCGGCTGAATGGATTCAAAAACGGTAAAACTCAACAGTTTAACTCTGGGGGAGTTGTAAAATGAGCCTATTTCCAAAAAAAAGTGGAGTATCCCTTTAATAATCAATTATGTTTAAAAAAGCAGCTGTCCAGAAGACAATTGTGTTGTTCTTCAGCTCACTTCTTCTGGTACACATGCTATCCTGCATTATATTTCTGTCAAAACAAGGTATTAAAGAAGGCAGAATAGTTTTTGCCTAATAGAACAGATATTGTGTGTGGAGTGCATTTAATATGCTGTCTAGGTAGGCAGCTCACTAGGTTTTCGAACAGAGTCATTATGTAACATCTCCTCTCTTTTCTCATCCCTTATATTTCTTTCTTTTCACTCTAAATCCATTCTGTCTTTCTTTTATAATTGTTCTCTATAGGCTTACATTCTCCAAGACACAGTTCTTCCTTAACAATCCCATCGATGCTCATCGTGAGGAAGCAAAGGAAGGGAGGTGTAGAGGTGGGTGGAACTGGTGGAGGGAGTCACGGAGAGATTGATGACATTAGGGTGTGAAGAGGCTCAGAGAAGCCGTGAATGAATGAGGGTCCAAACTAAAAGAAAACCATTGGCCTCTGTATGTAACAAAAGTCCAAGGCAGAGATAACTAGATCGTCTGAAGAGAATGGCTGAAGAGTGGTGTTTGCCCATACAAAACAGGTGGCACGATGCTAATGGAGTTGTGGGTGGTTGCCAGGGTGTTGCTATGTGGTTGCTAAGATGTTCTTTGTGGTTGCTAGGGTGTTTTGGCCCGAGTCAAAAGATCGTACCTCGAAGTGATGCTAAGATTAGGGGTTTGTTACAGTGTTATTTTAATATTATTTTTATACTGTATTTATTACTGTATATATAATATCTTGAATTAGTTTTTCTTTTATTTTTCAATTTATATATATACGTATATACAGGGCTGTCAACGTTAACGCATTAGCACATTAATTCAAAATCCTTAACGCATTAAAATAATTTAATTTAATCTTTGTTTTATTTTATTTCTGCCTTATTTACATGAACAAAAATAATTTTTAATAGTTTAGTTGTAGCTAACAATAATCGAATCACTAACCCTAACTGTGTAGTAGTGATAGTAAAAACAGTCTAATGCCTCTGAAATGCTTGATTGTCGTCATGAATGTGTTTAGTGAGTTGTATAGCGCAGTGATGAGGGGAGTATCTGTCTCTGGTTGGCCCGTTTGGACCGCTGCCACTCAAAAGCACACGGTAGCAGACGGTTTCTGCTCGCTCTGTCACACACAGTGTGTGTGTTTGTGTATTTGTGTGTCTGCCAGGCGGTCTGGGTCGTAGAGTCTAGTGGAACTGATTGTTACACCCTCACACGAAACGGCTGTGAGAAACCATCAGACACTTCTCATCTTCACTACATCTTTCCTCCTGCACCTCAAATCTCACCATCAGTCTTCCTTCTCTCACTTCTCCTTCTCTCCCTGTTCTGTTTGCCTGTTTGATCTAATATCCCAGTGTGTTTTATTGATTGATCCGTTCGCCTGTTGTCTTGTTAATGAACTCATTAGCTCTTTTGTTTGCTCTGTGTACTCAAGCCCTTAGTTTGAGTTATTTCTTTGTCCTGTATTGTTTATGTGACGTGTTTGTGATACCTGTTCCCTGAGTTTATCTGTGCCATTTGGATTTATTTATTAAAGGACTGTTTGCTCTAATAATCTCTGTCATCGAGCGCTTCATATCAGCCACAAACCATTACAGCATGTTTTTGTAATTGCCATTAATATGGCTTTGAATTTATTTATTTTTGCCTGGCAATGGTTAAAATGGATGAAAAACAAAACTCACACCCTAGCAACCGTATAGAAACATGCCATGGCAACTAACTCAAACACCCTAGCATCTTATCGTTTTTATTAAAAGTTTAAATGTAAATAAAATGAATTATTATTGAAAGCCAATAGGATAAGTACTACCATGATATACCTACTTTGCTGTTGAAATATACTCAATAATAATAATAATATAATATATTATTTGCATTACAGTGATGATAATTATGAAATATGCAAAAAAATGGTACAAAACAGGCTTCATTTTCTTTATGCAAAATATGTTCTTGACAAGCGTTGTGACTCGCGAGATTCAGCCAGAGCGAGTGTTCTTTTTTTCTGTATTTTTCTTTAATACATTTCTTCTCTCTCTGTACATAGGTCATCACTCTGTGTTCTTATTATGAATAAATTGATTTCTTTTTCATTAAATTTCACTTTTATACTCTATTGGTATTCGTCTCGTATTTCATTCAGTGTTTTTCAACCCCTCTTCTCTTTCTG